TAAAAAACATTAAAAGACAAGTAACAGAAAAATGGCAGATCAATAATGCAAACTTTGGAGAGAAGTACAGGTGTACGTTCTTTAGCAGGGTTTCTGATCTTTTTACTTTTCCTCCTTCCTTGTCTATAACGATCTTGCTGTAATTCAAAATAGCTTATTATAATCTAAAGAAGGTGTCTGTAACCCTCCATGTAACCATCAATCAAGACTCACTAATGGACTAAAACAACCACAAAAAACTGGGAAATAAATATTAAAATGGCAGTAGTGAGGGCCCAGCACAGTTGCTTAGTGGCTAAAGTCCTTCCTTGAATGCGCCGGGATCCCTATGGCCATTGGTTCTAATTCTGGTGGCCCTGCTTCCCATCCAGCTCCCTGCCTGTGGCCTGGGAAAGCAGTCGAGGACGGCCCAAAGCCTTGGGACCCTGAACCCATGTGGGAGACCTGCAAGAAGCTCCTAACCCCTGGCTTCGGATTGGCTAAGCTCTGGTCATTGCAGCTGCCTGGGGAGTGAATCAATGGACAGAAGATCTTCCTCTTTGTCTCTCCTCCTCTCTGTACATCTGATTTTGCAATAAAAATAAATTAAATCTTAAAAAAATGGCACTAGTGAGTCTGACTTCTGACTTGACCAGCTTCTCTGGTTTCGAGAGCGTATGGCAGGGTAGCAGTGTGCCACGCCGGGTTGAGCCTCCGCCTGTGACATTGGCATCCGTGCTCAGCCGCTGTCCCCGCTCCAGCTGCTCCACCCCCAGCCGGCATTCTGCCGCCGCACAGCTGCACGGAGCTCCGGGCTCCTGGCTTTTGCCCGGCACTTCTGACGCCTATGGGCACTCAGGGAGTGAACCGGATCGGTACGTTCTCTAACTCCTTCTTCCTCTTAAAGAAAATACAAATATGAAAAAAATCAACAAAGTGAAAGGTCTCAAACAGAAAAACAACATCAAACCCCAAATTAGAATAATAAAAGTCATAGCATGAGGTAATCATCCTATGACTTAAAAACAATGGAAGGGCCCGGCGCCCTGGCCTAGCGGCTTAAGTCCTTGCCTTGAACGCACTGGGATTCCATATGGGCGCCGGTTCTAATCCCCGGCAGCTCCACTTCCCTTCCAGCTCCCTGCCTGTGGCCTGGGAAAGCAGTCGATGATGGCCCAAAGCCTTGGGACCCTGCACCCACGTGGGAGACCTGGAAGAGGTTCCAGGTTCCCGGCTTCGGATCGGCACAGCACTGGCCATTCTGGTCACTTGGGGAGTGAATCATCAGACGGAAGATCTTCCTCTCTGTCTCTCCTCCTCTCTGTATATCTGACTTTCCAATAAGTAAATAAATCTTAAAAAAAATGGAAAAAAGAGTAGTTTCTTTGAAAGGTTAACAAAATTGACAACCCATTAGCTAGATGAAAAAACAAACACTCCAATGCATAAAATCAGAGATAAGAGGAACACAACACAGCGGACACCACAACAGCAGGACTGCTAACAGGAGTGAGCACAGAGCCTCAGATCTCAGAGACAACGAAGGGACCAACTTCTAGACGCATCTACTTAATCAAGGGTGACCAGTGAACAGAGAGCAGGCCGGAGCCGGCGTGCGCGGCCGGCTGCCGAGTGAGTGCTGTCCGGCTGCCCTCTGCTCTCAGACGCCTGCTCACATGGACTTGAGCGAGCAGCACGTGACAGCCCGGGCATCTGGACTTCTGACACGCACGCGGTGAATCAACACCCGTTCAAGCTCCCAGCTTTAGACTGGTCCAGTCGTGGCCGCCACTGGGATTTGGGGAGTGAACCTGATTTCTTTCTCTGCCTTTCACGTAAACAAGCAAGCACGTAAGTATTTTTAAAAATCCAAAAATAACACTGAGTAGTAACTAAAAAGTCTCTTACTAGAAGAAAAAAAAAGCCCAAGAACAGACGGTTTCACTGCAAAATCCTTCAAAACACTTAAGAATTGAATTCTTAAATTCTTCAAAACGGAGAATTTTTCCAAAGTTGTCATACGAAGTTAGTGTTACACTGTTGGTAAAACCCGACAAGAACACTACCAAAAGAGGAAGCCGCAGGCCAACAACACAACAAGCAGCCGAATTCAACACATTAGAGAGCTCACTGAGGACCCAGCGTGATGAAGGTCAGCCCAGGGACGGGAGGGCGGGCAAGACACGCAACCAAGGTCACAGACCACACTGACAGGACCAAAGACAAAAATTACACAATCGTCTCCACAGATACAGAAAGCATCTGATAAAATTAAGCATCCTTATATGATAAAAACCCTGAGGCTCTAGGTACAGAAAAAACACATTTCAACATGGTAAGGGGCATCTATCAGAGTTAGCAGCTACGATCACACCTGGCAGGGAGAAAGCGAAGGCCTTCTAATTTACTGGACATCCACTGTCACCATTCCATCACTCAGCACAGTACTGGAAGTTCTAGCCAGAGCAATTAGGCAAGAGAAAGAAGAAGTCAAACTGTTTGCAGACGACATGATCTTAATAAATTTGTTTCACAGGCACAGAGGTAAACAGATCTCACTTCCGGGCTCACTTGCCCAGGGCACACAATGCGAACTGGGCAGTCCATCCGGTCTCCCATGAGCGGCCAGGAGCCTGGCATCGGGAGCCGGAACCAGACACTGAATCCAGCCGCTCCAGCGTCGGACACGGAATCCTAACCGTGTCGAATGCCTGTCCCAGGTGACAAGACCTTGGGAACAGAAAGCCCAAAGACAGCAAGACAAAGCTGTTGGTACACCTAGGGTGTAGGGTACAGTCAGGGCGCATAAGTCATCAGATTACATACCAGCAGCAATAACAAATGAGCTCAAAATGATGTGAGAGGAGCGATCCCACTTCCAAAAGCTACCAAAGTGGACAAACCTAAGAATAGGGGCCAACTCTGTGGCACACAGGGTTAAGCTGCAGCTTGCAATGCTGGCGTCCCATGCCCGAGTGCTAGGTCAGGTCGCAGCTGTCTGCTTCCAATCCAGCTTCCTGACGGTGGACCTAGGTAAGCAGAAAATGACCCAATTACTTGGGCCACTGCAGATCACAACGGTCCCTGGCTTCTACATCAGTCTGGCCAGCCCTGGCTGATGTGGTCACTCAGGAAGTGAACCAGTGGGCAGAAGGTCTCTCTACTGTTCTCTTCATGGCCTTTCAAACCAATCAATCACACACACACACACACACACACACACACACACACACACACACACATCTTTAATCTAGGAATAAGTTTAACAAAAGAGGTGAAAGACCTCTACAACGAAAACATTGATGGAAGAAATTGATGAGAACATGAAGAAATGGAAACACATTCTTTATTGATGAATTGGAAGAATCAATAATATTAAACTGTCTAAACTCCCACAGCTACTTGTAGACCTAATGCAATCCCTACCGAACACCAATGGCATTTTTCTCTATACTAACACACACTCCTGAAGTCTGTATGGAGACGAAAAAAGACCTGAGCAATTTGGAGCAAAAGAGCAAAGCAGGAGGCCGCCGATTGGCTTGAGCGCTCACTCTAACTCATCCATTTCAAATAACTGAATCAATCTTAAAGAAAGAGGACAGTCTTTTCAATGGACATTACTGGAAACGTGACATCCACATGCAGAATGACCCCCGAGCCCTGTCCTGTAGGAGGCACAGGCAGACAGCACCATCAGAGAGCCATTTACGAGACCCCCAGCCTGCAGCCCTAACCACAAAGCCCAGGGGAGACACTGACAACTGCACTGGAGCAGAGTTCTTTGGGCGCAGCTCACCAAAGCACAGCCCGACCAACGCAGCGTCATCAAACTCGGGCCTTCTGTATGGCAAGCGCACCGCACTGTGAAGAGGCAGAATGAGGGGGAGTACTTGCCAGTTACACTTCTGATAAGGCCTTAAGAGCCACAATTATGATTCAAACAAATAGTGTAAGAAAGCAAACAATACAAGCAAAAAAAAAAAAAAGAGTATATCCAAACAGACCTTTCGCAAAGGAAGACACGAATGACCAGCAAGTACATGAAAAATGCACAATACGGTTAACCTCAGGAAAACGTGAGTGAAAACCAAGCACGCTGCCTCCTCACGTACAGTGAGCTGGCTACTGGGTTAGCTATTTAGACTGGCGACTAAAAAGGGGATTACAACTGCTGGTAAGCAAAAAGGGAATCTACACACTCCTGGTAGGAATGCAAATTGGTCAAGCCTTTGTGGTAAACAGTATGGAAGCTCCTTAAAAATAAAAGCAGACCTTCCACATGACGCAGGAACCCTGCCACGTGCAGAACCACAGAAATGCAACGAAGCTGTGGAGGAGCCTGCGCGCCTGCGTGTACTGTCAGGCTGTTCACAGCAGCTCAGAAACTGAAGCCGCCAAGCTCCTGTCAGCACACAGACTGATAAAGACAGCGTGGCACACACACAGGAACTACAATGAAATGCTGTTCTTTGCAACAATCTGGATGGAGGCACAAGTCATTACAGTAGGTGAACCAAGCTGAGGAGAGACAAGGACCGCGTGACATCACGCACAGCTAGCACTAGTGGCACCGGGGCTGGGTGCGGCTTAAGGTGCTGGTCAAAGGATGCAGCACTTAGCAAGAATACGTTCCAAGATCTAACGTACAACATGACTGTGATTAATAACAATTATTACACATCTGAAAAACAGCGTGTCAGGTAGATTTTGGGTGTCCCCGTCACAAAACAGTGGTAAACATGTGAGACAATGCATATGACTCATATCACAACATACATTTTTGAAACAAGCAATTTCTCATCGATATATAGAATGTTAGTTGTCAATTAAAAATCAATTTAAAAACTAGTTAAATATTTGTAATCTTTCTGGATCAGTTGAAAACTTCTTCCTAAAAGCATATGGAAGCTTCACTGAACAGTGGCTCGCTTAGTGCTTTAAAGTTAGCTGTAACTGTTACCTTAAATCTGTCCTTTTCGTCACTGAAAAAGAACTTGAAAATGACTTTAAGAAATCACCTCTCGACAATGTTGAGGCAAGACACGCCATCCTGGCCGCCCACAGCATACAGAAAGCCGCCGAGCACGGCCACGCCAACGCTCGTCCTGCAGGTGCTGGTCGGGGCCACGTCGCTGCTCCACTGGTTTGTTTTGGGGTCATACCTGCAAGGAACACATTCAGAGTAGAGTCCGTGTTCTACGAGGAGGCTTGGCTGCAGCACATATTCCCAACCGAGGGACTCATATGCGCTATTTGCCTTAAACAAGGGTTGATTAATAACTAAAAATACATGGAAATCGAATTGGCTTTTAACTTTTAAATTCATTTGTATATAATGTTATACGTGAATATATTTAAATATTTTATTTCATTTAGTCTTTGAAAGGCAGAATTACAGAAGGAGGGAAAGACACAGAGGTTTCCCATTGGCTGGTTCACTCCCAAGTGGCCACAACAGCCGAAGCTGAGCCAGTCCAAACCCAGGAGCCTCTTCCGGGTCTCCCACATGGGTGCAGGGTCCCAAGGCTTTGGGCCGTCCTCGACTGCTTTCCCAGGCCACAGGGAGGGAGCTGGATGGGAAGTGGGGCAGCCAGGATACAAACCGGCAGTCATATGGGATACCGGTGCACATGCAAGGCGGGACTTTAGCCTCTAGGCTACGGCGCCAAACCCTCCACTGATTCTTTATTTTTGGTTTTTTATTACTATTTTTTCTACTTATGTTTTTTTGTTTTGCTTTTCACTGATATTCTTTTTATTTTCTTAGGTTTGTTGCCTTTTTTAATAACTTCTTAAAGTGGTATTTCACTGTTTTTCATCTTTGTTATTTTCAAATGACTATAAGTTAAAATCCATACAGATGTGCTGCTGTGCGTCCACTCACTGCCTTGCACACATTTTGGTATATATACGCTTTAGTGTGACTAAGACGTAGCCACTTCTGCTTACATTTCCTTAAAATATTTACTTATTCTGTTAGAAAATCTGAATTCCTTTTAGATACGATTCCAGAACTGGGCAACACAGAGCAGCACCCCCTGCAGGTGCCCGCCCGCCTCCACGTCTGTGGAACCGAGCCTCGTGCTTTCCAGCTGCACACGGACACTGCGGGCACTTGATTGCAGGCGGACGCAGAACTTCAGAAATGCACCTTACATAAACACAAGGATCACTGGAAGACAACGGAGCTGAGAAGAGGAGGGGTCGGAGAACAGGCGCTGTTAACACCTGAGTCACTGTAAGGTGTCCACGTGTCAGCACTGCGACAGATGCGAGGGAAAGGGGCCGTAGAAGGCCTGAGGTAGGGATGGCTCATCTGAGTCTTGCAGGATATGCAAGTCTTGTAAGGATAGACTGGCCCGGCATGGCCTACTGGCTGAAGTCCTCACCTTGCACACGCCCGGGATCCCATAAGGGCGCCTGTTCGTATCCCGGAAGCTCCACTTCCCTTCCAGCTCCCTGCCTGTGGCCTGGGAAAGCAGTTGAGGATGGCCCAAAGCCTCGGGACCCTGTACCCGTGTGGGAGACCCAGAAGAGCTCCTGGCTCCTGGCTTCAGATTGGCTCAGCGCCAGCTGTTGAGGCTACTAGGGGAGCAAACCAGTGGATGGAACATCTCTCTCTCCTTCTCTGTAAATCTGCCTTTCCAATAAAAAATAAATAAATAAAACAATCTGTAACAAAAACGGCAGAGATATTCCAGGAAGAGAGAGAAGCAAGCATACACTTAGGAAGAGAAGAAAGCCAGAGGGTCCCAGCACTCGGAGGCAGCGCAGTGCCATGCACAGAGGGCAGAAGCCAGGGCAAAGGAGTGGACATGTCATCAAGGACATGTTTGTCGCGCTCCACGGGCGAGCCTGCCACCCGGTGCCACAGACTGCAATCACATCTGCTTCAAGGACACTTGCAGTCACCCTGACTTACCTTTCCACACTGTTGAGGTAAGAAGAGCCGTCGTGGCCTCCCACTGCGTACAGCAGGTCATCGAGGACGCTCACCCCGACCCCACACCGCCTCTTGCTCATTGAAGCCACCATGCGCCACTCGTTCGTCTGTGGGTCGTACCTCTCCACACTGGAAATGGCGTCTCCACTGCACCAGCCACCGACTGAGGAAGAAAGGAAGTGATGTGGAGGACGTGCTAAGCAGCGGCTCGCTCCCGGTAACCGTGCACGAGCCACGTGTGGACCGAGCGGGTGACCGTGGAGGCCAAAGTCAAGTACGACTGCGCTCACCGTGACCTTGGACGTGGTACTAGGCAAATGGAAATGTTACTAAAGTCCCACACAGCACTTCAGGCTCCTTGTGTTTTTACTGTACGGGCGGATGGATTCTGGATTGTTTACTCATGGCCTCTTAACAAGTGCCCTGGGACTGAAGCAGCACAGAAATTCTTTTAAAGAAGATTTTATTCTATTGCAAAGTCAGATGTACAGAGAGGAGGAGAGACAGAGAGGAAGATCTTCCATCTGATGATTCACTCCCCAAGTGAGTGCAACAGCCGGAGCTGTGCCAATCCAAAGCCAGGAGCCAGGAGCCGCTTCTAGGTCTCCCACATGTGGGTGCAGGGCTGTCCTTGACTGCTTTCCCAGGCCACAAGCAGGGAGATGGATGGGAGGAGGAGCTGTCAGGATTAGAGCTGGCGCCCATATGGGATCCTGATGCACATGCAAAGCCAGGACTTTAGCTGCTAGGCCATGGCATTGGGCCCCCCAAATTCTAAAATTCAAAAATACTTTGCTTTCTGTTTAATCTGTAGTTTACGCTGAATTCAGAACCATCCAACACGACATTTAAGGCATCCCATTTTCACAGCTGAGTGTTAGGAACTGAATGCCTGTGCTCTCCCACCCATAAGTCCATGTCCAAGCCTCAGTCCCTAGGTTCTTCTCCGAGATGGGACCTCTAAAGATGCAAACAGTTCAGACGACGCCGTAAGGGGGGGGTACCCTAACTCAGTCAATTTCCGTTTCTGAGCAGAGGCACCATGGGCCCTGGCCCTGTGCTGGTTCTCCCACTGCTTGCCCCTCCCTTCTCTTGTGGACACAACAAGGCAGCAGCCGTCTACAAGCCAGGAGCACCCTCTCAGAAACGGAACTGGCTGGGACTTGATTTTGGAACTATAGTCTCCAGAAGTATAAGAAAAAAATATAGAAGCTGGCACAGTAGCATTGAATGCTAATCCTCTCCCCGAGGTGCCAGCAGCCCATTCTGATGCTGGTTCGAGTCCCGACTGCCCTACTTCCAGGCCAGCTCCCTGCCGATGGCTTGGGAAGGCAGTGGAGGATGGCCCAGGTCCTTGGACCCCTGCACTCAAGTGGTTTTGATAGTTCACCAGTTATGAATCACTGCCAATCTCACCACTCCAAGCACAATGAGGTGGCTGAAGAATCCACTGATTGACATAGTCCATCACAAAGTCTCCGTTTGCCCAGTATTTCGATGCCAACATGTAGCAGAGGTTGTTGATTGACTTGTTCTGTCTTCTGTGTTAGGGTTCTGAGTTCGGCATTTCGATTGGGGAGATCCCCAATCGAAACTTTGTCTGAGGTGTTCTCAGACCAGATTCTTGGATGTACTAGCAAGTACAGGGCCCGGCACAGTCCATTGCCCTGATCAGCTGGTGGTTGCAATTGCTGGATTGGTTCTGTTTTCAGCCCTGACTTCCACTGGAACCAATGGGTGTTACAGTCCAGCCTGGTTCTGCCCAGCACACACTCAGCCCTCACATAAACCAGCGGGAGCTGCAGCCTAGTCAGAGTGACCTACCATTACCCTCACCAGGCTGGCTCCCTGTCCTGGTTTGCCAGTATGTGTAGCAGTCTAGTCCAGTCTGCCCCACATCCCATTCGGCTCTTGTAGATATCAATGGGTATTAAAGCCTAGTTCCATGTAACCAGCTCCACTATCCAGCCCTCACAGATATCGTAGGTGCCTTTCTGTCTGGACAGCCCAGCCCCACAACAGGCACATTTTCAACACTCTTACTCTACCCATTTTATGTTGTTTCTTCCCTCCACCCACTGGGTAATTCAGCATGAGCCAGCATAAACTGGGCCACTTCTAGAATTGGTTATTTTATTTTTTTTTTCTGTGGCAAGGCTGTCGTGGGGCCTGGGTATCTCAGGTTCATATGCATCCATGACCAGCGTTCCACTGTGGTCAAAAGCCTCAGCAACGGACTTGGTGACGTCAGCTGCCTGTTGCTGCTTTGTTCCTCCATTGATGGAAGCCAGCTTCAGGGTGCATTTGTCATCGAACCTTTTGAGACTGGAGGACAGCTGCTAAACATCAACAGGATCCATTCCTGTAAGATCTTTCCTGTCGGCCACGAGAAACATGCTCTTCTCCTCATGAGAGGTATAAACAGTAACAATGCCCCTCATCACAAAATAGGATATGACGCACAAGGCCAAAGCGGGCTCCGACTGGAAATGCACGTAATCCCAAATCAAAGCCGCTACTGCAAAGAAGCAGGGGACCGTAAGATGGTAAGGCGACCGTCAATTAAGCCAAAATTCTCCACATACTCACACTTTTCCTGAAGTACCGTTTTGGCAGAATCATCCAGAGAGTTTTTCACAGCTGAGCCATCCCATTTACCAACGTTTACAGGTTTATCATCAATCTTCCACTTATCCAACAAGCCGCTACGGCCACGACTTGTCCCGCCGCTGGGACCACAAGCCCTACGCCACCTCTGCCACCACTCCTCCCGTCCCGTGCAGCCCATGCAGCCATCTTGTCCGCCACTGCATCTCCCTCCCCTCCCAAGAAGAAGTTTTAAAGAATAAGCTACTATGGGCTGAGTGTGCCCCATCTGAAATGCAGACCGTGCTTTGGCACATGTGCAGAGAGCGCCGGCTGAGCACCCCAAACCAAACATTCAAAATCTGGAACCTCTGAGCGCTGACAAAGCTCAAACAGCTTCAGGTGTTTTAGTGAGGGCTGCTCAACAAGGAAGAAGCTTTACTAAACTATGAAAACACAGTTACTCATTTGACAGGGAGCTGACTTTACATGGACAGAATTGAAGCACTTAAAATACAAAGATCTCAATGGTGCAGAGCTTGACAGTAGGAACAAAATACCGCAGAGCTGTTTGGGGGCTCTACCTGGGTTACCTGGGAAACGGTGTAACTGTGAGCTAACTTGCACATTGCACAGAAACTGATGCATTTCCACCGAACATTCACTGCCTGCCTGGATCTACGTAAGAATGTTAACTGCTAGATAATGGCTAAGAACTAAACTGCAAAGTGGCTTATCTTTTGTTTTATGGTATGATCAATTGGCATTACGCTTCCAAAACAGAGTAAGTGAATGAATTCAAAGAACAAGACATAATTAGGTGTCCAAATGCTTGAAAGTTTGGGCTGGTCAACAAAACAGAATATTCCGACACATGGCCGTTAACCTGAGTTCTCAGCTGGAGACTAGTACGCTTAGTGAAATAAGCCAGTGCCAAAATGATCTTGTTATATTCTTTAGGACAGTAAATATTGCAGTGTTTCCAATGCTCATGCCCACGCCAGTCCCTCGGCCACCGCGCATGCAGACGCCCACCTGCGAACAGCACCTCCCCGCAGCGGATGGGCTTGCGAGGCCGCGTCCGGGGGCCCTGCATCAGGGGTCGCTCCTGAGGCAGCAGCAGGTAGTTCTTGGCCTCGTCGACCAAGTCTCTGCAGAAAACAAAAATACTGTGTTTACTCCAAATGTCCAGAGACGCTGCCGGCCAAGCCCCAATGCTGCTGAGGGATGACACCGGCGGGAGCCAGTGTAAGTCAGCTGAAGTCACACCTAACACGCGGGGGAGGGAGCTGGTGTGTCAGCTGAAGTCACACCTATCACATGGGGGAGGGGGCCAGTGTGTCAGCTGAAGTCACACCTAACACGTGGGGGAGGGAGGGGGCCAGTATGCCAGCTGAAATCACACCTATCACGCAGGGGAGGGGGCCAGTGTGTCAAGCCACAGGCAGTGGCTTGACATGCTCTACCAAAGCACCTGAGTTTTCTTTCTTTTTTCTGCAATGTCAGCCTCCCTGTTTGACTCTTTTACGACATTCAATGACCGAGTAGTGAAAATTGTTATTGTGGGTCCTGCGACGTGGCCTAGTGGCTAAAGTCCTCGCCTTGAACACCCCGGGATCCCATATGGGCGCTGGTTCTAATCCCGGCAGCTCCACTTCCCATCCAGCTCCCTGCTTGTGGCTTGGGAAAGCAGTCGAAGACGGCCCAAAGCTTTGGGACCCTGCACCCGTGTGGGAGACCAGGAAGAAGTTCCTGGCTCCTGGCTTCGGATTGGCATAGCATCGGCTGTTGGCTCACTTGGGGAGTGAATCATCGGATGGAAGATCTTCCTCTCTGTATATCTGACTTTCCAATATAAATAAATAAATCTTAAAAAAAAAAAAAAGAAAATTGTTATTGCCCGTTGTCCCCCAATTGTGAAAGGGTTTCCTGAACCACCCTACACTTTCACTTCTGTTAATGCTACAAACAGTTCATTTATTCTGCTTGGTACAGACCCAGGCATGACCCAAGAATGCACTTTCTAACCTAGGGCCGGGACCAGGCTGAAGCCAGGAGCCAAGACTTCCAGCCAGATCTCCCACTTGAGGGCAGCCATCGCCTGCTGCGTACCCAGAAAGCCGGAAACGCGAACAGAGTGGAGACCTGGATGGGGCCCAGGGGTGCCCCGGTCAGCATCCCCACCGTCAGGCACAGGCCTTCCTTGGGTCTGCTTACACAAGCGACGTGAGTGGTGGCATTTGGCATCACTTGGGGCTCAGGGTATGTGCCTGAGACTCCTGCCTCCTGTTACTGTACACAGCAGGGCCGGATTGTTTCTCGGCTCTCGGGTTGGTTCATCCCTAGCCATGTAGGAATTTGGGAGGCAAATTGGCAGATGGAAGATTTCTGTCTGGCTTTCAAAAATACACACATCAAGAAGTGTGAGCGGCTGACTCTACATGCGCCACCTCTGATCTAAACCCAGGGATGACTTCCTAAAATCATCATACATTATGTGCTTTCATGCTTTGGGACATGGACATCAGAGCAGGCATAGCTGTTGCCAAACATTTATAACTCCTTTCTGGAAAAAAATTAAAAATCCTTTCTTCCATTTTTTTTTTTTTTACGATTTCTTTCTTTGTCTTGGAAAGTCAGATTTACAACGAGGAGATACAGAGGGAAAGATCTTGCATTAACTGGTTCATTCCCCAAGTGGCTGCAACAGCCCGAGCTGAGCCAATCCAAAGCCAGGAGCTTCTTCCGGGTCTCTCACACGGGTGCAGGGTCCCAAGGCTTTGGGCCATCCTGGACTGCTTTCCCAGGCCACAGGTGGGGAGCTGGATGGGCAGTGCAGCAGCCAGGATATGAACCAGTGCCCATATGGGATCCCAGCGCATGCAAGGCAAAGACTTTAGCTACTAGGCTACTGCGCTGGGCCCACTTCTCCCAGTTTTTAAAAATCTACAGTCGGACCATCAGTTCTTGAGAATTACCTTCTGTCCTTCCCTCCCTTTCCCTCCCTTCCCACAGCCCCTGGGAAGTCCTAGTCTAACTTATTTTAATTTATTCATTATTTATTTTAAATACATAGGGAGAGAGATACAGGGATCTTGGATCCACTGGCTGACTTGGCTGACATCTGCAGCAGCCAGGCCCAGCCCGGGCTCGCCTGAGCAGCTGGGGCTCCACTTGGGTCTCCTCTGTGCGCTGCAGGGATGCTGCTCCTTGAGCCATCATCTTCTGCCACCCAGGCATTCTGATACAGGTGCACGCCACGTTTAATCGCCTTGACATCCCCTGGTCGGACCCATGTTGTCACAAATGACGAGAGGTCTTTCTTTCCGAGGGCTTGAACAGTGTCCCGTCAGGTATGTGTACCACACTTCCCTTATGCATCCATCAGTTGATGGAGACAATTCCAAATTTAATAACCAAGGAAGAATTAAAGGTTATGGCGTTTAAAGAACTGTAAGTACTGGTTCCAGTGCACTAGTCTAGTGGCTAAACTCTAGCCTTGCCTGCGCTGGGATCCCACAAGGATATCGGTTTGTGTCCTGGTGGCTCCACTGCCCATCAGCTCCCTGCTTGTGGCCTGAGTAAGCAGTGGAGGACGGCCCAAAGTTTTGGGACCCTGCACCCGTGTGGGAGACCCGGAAGAGGCTCCTGGCTTCGGATCAGATAGGCTCGGCTCTGGCCATTGCAGCCACTGGGCAGTGAATCAGCGGATGGAACATTTCTCTCTATATCTTCTTCTCTCTGTGTATCTGCCTTTCCAATAAACAATAAATAAATCTTTAAAAAAAAAAAGAAAGAATTACAATACTGACTTTTTTACTTTCCTATTTGGAATATGCTGGAGGAAAACTTAATGCCAGATGATTTCACATTTGAAACAAAATCTGAAAATCGGCAAAATTGGGAAATCACTAAATCTTTCATATGACTATGTTACAGAGCCAGCCCAGAACAGCTATCCCCCGCCTTTTCTGAAAATATACTTGTGGGGCCCGGCGTGGCGGCGCAAGTGGTTAAGGTCCTAGCCTCGCACGCCCGGGATCTCATATGGGTGCCGGTTCTAATCCCGGCAGCCCCGCTTCCCTTCCAGCTCCCTGCCTGTGGCCTGGGAAAGCAGTCAAGGACGGCCCAAAGCTTTGGGAACCTGCACCCGCGTGGGAGACCCGGAAGAGGCTCCTGGCTTCGGATCGGCATAGTATCGGCCGTTGCGCTCACTTGGGGAGTGAATCATTGGACGGAAGATCTTCCTCTCTGTCTCTCCTCTCTGTATATCCGCCTTTCCAATGAAAAAATAATAAAAAATAAATCTTTAAAAAAAAAAAAAGAAAATATACTTGTGGCTTGGTGGAACCCTGCCGAGGAGCAGCACCGTGGCACAATGAGCTAAGCTGCTGCCCGGCACAGCAGCACTGCTCCCATGGCAGTCGCTCTGCTGATGTGGAGGGCAGGGAAGACGACCCCAGGGCGTGGCGTCTGCTCCCCGTGGACCCTGGAGGCTGAGCTGAGTTTCCGGGTTCAGCCACCCTGGCCATTGTGCCATTCGGGGAGTAAACCCAGGGATGCAAGATCTAATCACCTGCCTTTCTAGTTGCTGACACCACGTTTACACGTTTGATTCTGCGCTTTCAGGTGGGGAGGTGGCAGGTCTTAGTCCAAAGCCTTAGAAGACAAGGCTAGCTCTATTCCGCACTGGACAGGATGGGAAGAAAGTCCTCGCTCGTTCTACTTATCCCTGGGACGGGGAGGGGAAAGGAACTATCTTCAAACTCAAGCTTGCATCGAAACCTCAGAAATCTCCTTCTTTGTCCCTCTATGCCAAGGGGCACCACAGCTCTCCTGGCAAGTGTACTTCTCTTCTGCCTTCTCTAGACCCTCGCCCAGAACAAAAACCTGTCACCCACTGCCTGGATGCCAGCAACCCAGATAAGGAGAGGAGAAGAAACGTGGAATGCTAGCTCTTTATTTTTTCCCAGCCAACATCACTCATACCTGCATTCTTCATCACTTTTGATGAGGGGGTCGGAGCCCACCGTGCCCACCAGGAACTTGGGACTAAGCAGAGGCAGGCGGACGTGCTGGAGCACCTGCAAGACAACACGCGCTGTCAGACGCACATGCAGCGATGGGGAGTGCGCGAGCCAGCCGCTGCCTGAGCTCTGCCCGAACACGGCAAATCAGGAGCGTACATCTCAGCAATGCAGCATCATCAGAAAACTGCAAGCACGCTATCGTTTTTCTAAATGTTTTAAGCTTTCAGCAATCTGGTATAAACTCTGGTATAACTGGACTGAAATGGGTTAGTAATTCAGAAGCAGCAGCTGTTAAACTGTCAGACTATCACAAATAACCCTCCTCCTCAGTTTTAATTACTTGTGGTCAATTACAGCCCAATTTGGAAAACTGTTCAGTTTTAAAGAATTTTTGATATTGTACTGTTATACTTTTAACTTTTTATTAGTTGCTGTTAGTGTTTTAGTATATGTAATTTATAAATTAAACTTTATCATAGGAATATATACAGCAAAATATATATAGGCTTTGGAACTCTTTGTGGCTTCCGCTGTCTGAAGAATGTGCTGGAAGGTATCGCTGTGCACCTGGGAGAACGCATCACCACAAGCAGGGCCATGAACATGTCGCCCAGTCCCACTTCTGCCCCAACATGCCCCTTTATTTTTCAAAGCGTGGCAGGACTTCTGAGTTCCATGGATGGGAATCCCACAGCAGGGCTCGCTCTACAGGGCAAGCAGCAGCCTTGCTTCCCTTGGTTCATTCACAGGCTTTGAGCTGTGCCACGGCTGAGGCAGAACCGTCCCCAGACACGGGGCTGCACAGAGCAAGCTCACAATGCCAGGCAAGGCAAACGTCTCCAACTCCCCGTCACTCTTTGGAAACAGATGGACTCCACAGTATGAGGGGCAGTGCCGTTTCCTCTCCACAAGACAAAACACGCCTATGATTACCTGGGGTAGCTGCGGCCGCCGCTCCTGAATGCTGTATTTGACCCAGGCCATCACTGCATTGAACACTTGCTCTTCACTGCGAACATTCAGCTCGTCACTAGATATTATATCAATGAGTTGGTTGGCCGGCAGCAACATGAACTCCTCACTTTCCATCACCTGCTCAAGGGCAAGGATAAAAAAACCTGTGATTGCATTTCATTTCCTGCCTCAACTTTCCCCTGGTTTCTTTGTTTACTTCTTCTGAAAGGCAGAGGGACAGAGATCAATGAGTTGATCTAACTGCTGGGCTGAGTCCAAGCCAAGGGCCGGCACCTCCACATGAGTCCCTGCGGCAGACGCCCCAGCAATTGGGCTAGCTTCCGGTGCCTTCTCGGGCGAGTGAGCTGAAGGCATGCCTGGAGGCAGAGCAGTAGGAGGAAGCAGCGCTCGGATACAGGATGCTGGCATCAGCCGTGCCAGAACGTTGCCTCTCGTCTATGGCCATACACCCTGCACGCGCTCCATCTCGCTAGAACGTTCCTCTCAGAACCTTCCTCCAGGGTTACAGAGCAATCATCTATTTCACAGAGGAGCTGAAGTTTAACACACACCAAGAGAAAATGATAAAAACGGCATCCTAGCTGCAGGCAACAGCCTGGGTTGCCTTGCACCTAGGCAAGTATTTGTACTGCTGGGAGAGAAGCAGCCAGTAGCTGCAGGCATTCTGGGCCTGGGTAATGCCAAATTTGTGTTAACTACACCAGTGTGCTGGCATAGTTGCACCTTCTTCTTTAAGAGATGTGAGGAAGGTAAGAGCAGTGGGTTAGGACATGCCATTCCAGGGCTCAGGCAGGGGTGTGCAGCCTGCCTGTGCAAGAGGGTCTTAGGATAACACATCCCAGGTGGGAGCGGCAGAGGGCACTTTTGACAGAGGAAGAGTGACGAATGGGGGCTTCCATGCACAGGACCACTGCATTCACAGCTAGGCGAGGGAGCTAAGATGGGGTAGTTCAGAGGGAAAAACCGGAGGGCGTGTCTGGGTGAGGGAGACCCAGGCTGACTGAATAGCATCACTCGTCACCAGAAAGAGCATGCGAAAGCTGGGGCTGTAGGGCACGCCCAGTTGGGCTAGGCCACAGCACCCACCTGTGTCAGCGCATGGGTTTGGCCATGACAGGCTGGGCTGCAGCACCCACCAGAATACCAGCGAACCAAACCTGGGGTCAGATTCTGTAGGGGACTTGCGGGCTTGCCCTGTGGGACTGCAGCACCTGTCGGTTTACACGAGAGCTAGGGGTGGTGATGGGCCAAGCCAGGTACTCAGGGGGATAAGAACTGGGGGGAGGTTGGCTGGGCCACACTGCAGCACCCACCAGTACATGCACAGGCCAGGGAGGGGAGCAGACCATACCACGCGGGGCTGTGACACCTGAAGGCAGGCATGAGACCTGGGACTGCTGGTGGGTCTGGTAGGAAAACTTGGGGAACTCCCCTATTAGGTTAAATATCTGCTGGGGAGCACAAGAACAGGGGCTGGAGACGGGCCAGGCAAGGCTAAGCTAGGCTGCAGCACTCACTGGCAGTGCATTACAGCCAGGACAGGGTGTGGGGCCATGTGGTGCAACAGCCACCAATGGGAGCTGAGCCTACGGGCAGGTCATGCAGGCTGTGTTGCGCTACCTGCCCAGCACCCACAAGACCCGGGGCTGGGAATGGGTCTGGTAGGGGAACTCTGAGGACTCTCTTTGTAGGCTACAGTACCCACGGTAAGTGCAAGAGTTGGGGTTGTAGGCTGACTGGGCTGGGCAGGGCTGCAGCACCCCCTGATGTGTATGGAGGCTGGGCCTGGGGGTGGGCCAGGCTGGGCAAGGCTGCAGCACCCCCTCACATGTGTGGAGGCTGGACAACGCTGGGCTAGGCTCTAGCACCTGCTGGCACTTGTGAGAACCAGAATGGTTGTGGGGTAGGCCAAGTCAGGCCACTGTAACTGCTGGGTCATATGAGGGCTTGTCTGGGGGTGGGCCAGGTTAGGCAGGCTGTAGGTGCCACTGGTGAGAGCCAGAATGGGTGTGGGCAAACTGGGCTAGGCTGCAGTACCTTTTGGTGAGTGCTAGGACTGGCCACTGGCCACATCAGGCTGGGCTGCAGCACCGACTGGCACACACGAGATCTGGGCCTGGGAGCAGGCTTGGCAGGGGAACTTGAAGAACTCACCTGCTGGGCTGCAGCTCCTACTGGTGAGCAAGAGAGGCAAGCACCAGCTGGCACATGTGTGGGCATGCTGTGGCAGCAGGCCAGGCTGGGTCAGATAGGGTGGGAATGCAATACCTGAGCCAGCCTCAGCCAGGCTGCTACAGCTGCCAGCAAGAGCTGGGAATGGGGGTGGGGCGGGCCAGGCTGAGCTGGGCCACAGTACTTGCAGGTAAATGCCCTCACTGGGGACAGACCAGGCTGGGCTAGGCTGCCACATCTGTTGGTACAAAAGAGAGCCAGAATGGATGTAGGCCAGCTGAATTAGGCTGCAACACCAGCTGGCAAGAGCCAGGACTGGGTGCAAGTCATCTCAGGTTGGACCGCAGTACCCTCTAGCAGGTGCAAGATCCAGGACCGGCAGTGGGACTGGTAAGGGAACTGTGGGTCTCCCCTGCAGGGAAGCACAGCTCCTGGTGAGCACAGAAGGAGCCAGGGCTGAGGTGGACAGGCTGGTCAAAGCAGTAGCATCAGTATACATGTGGGTTGGGTTTTGGGGCTAAGCTGCAGCACCCATGAGTGTACATGAGAGCCAGATGATGTGGCATGGAGCGGGCGAGGCTGCAGCACACACCATCACGCACAGACACCAGGTCTAGGGCAGACCTGGCGGGGTTATCGGGGTTGCATCACATAGGCCATCGTACCTGTTGGTATGTGTGAAGACTGGGCCGTGGCAGGCTGGTTAGGCTAGGCCACAGACCCATCGATTCACATAAGATGGGCTGAGGGAGGAACCGACCAGGCAGCTGTATCCACCAGTATGTGTGTTGGCTGGTGCAGCTGATGGACCGAACCTGAGCCTGCACTGACTGACACACACAAGAGTCATGGCTGAGGCCACCCCAGAGGGGGTTTCTCGCAGACTCCCTAATGAGACTTTTGGCTGGACTCAAATCACAAGATGTGCGGTCTGACCTTGGAATGGATGTGTTGGGACTGGGTCTCCTCAGTGGTTGATGCCTGTAGGGCAGACTGCAGGCTCAGACGCACACGGGGACATGACAGCCAGCAGGGGATGAAAAGCAGAACAGGTGGGAGAATTCCCCCTTGGCAGCAAGTGTCGGGTCTGTGGGTGCACTGAAGTGGACTGGGTCAGCCAACAGAGCTTGGAAAGATTTTCTCAACCCTGGTGTAAGGACGCTGACAATGTCTCAGGACTATCATGACCACTCAAGCCACACCCTCTGAACATTCCTCCCCACACTGGGGTCTCCAATGCATCATCAAATGACCACTACATCCTCAGATGATGATGTAGTTTGGCAGCAAGGAGCAACCCCCTGCTAACAGACGAGGCGGACACAAAGAACTAAGATATTCGATCCCCTCCTTGGACTCTCCGCCCCCCATCAGAGGTCCATACGGCTGTGCAGCCCTCTCTACGATGTAAACAATCATTACGTAGAAAGAACCCTTCTGTGCAGCAACTCACGCTGTTCCCCTCCTCCAGTGCACACACACATCCCCAGAGGTGGGACCGCTGGGCCATAACACGCCATTTACACACCCACACATTTCCTATCAAAGGTGTTATGTTAATTCAAAGTGATGCTAGCATGAACCGAGTTCCCCACCGCCCTGCCAGCAGGGCACAAACTTCTGGATATTTAATAGCATTGGGGGCAGTTTTGTGTTTCAGTTATTTTGAATAATCTTAAGTAAATTTCCAGATGTTTAAGGGTAACCACAATTTCCTTTTTTTTCCTACTGCTCATTTTTCTGTTTAGCTTAGGTTACTGACCAACAGGAATCCTTGACGTAGAGAGAGAGGCTTTTTGTGCGTCAGGAGTTGCAAATATTTTCCCTGTTTGTCTTTGACTTCTGCTTTGTTGTTGCAGCTTTGTTTTACCAAGAAGAAAATTTTGGTTTTTAAATGGTTGAACTTATCAATTCTATCTTCTACCCCTCTCGATTTGTCAATTTAAGGTTTTCTTCATTTCAATTTCATAAAGGAATTGTTCCATCTCATCTTCTAATAGTTCCATGGTTTCATTTTGTATTTTTAAGTTTTTGATCCACTGGAGGTTAGCTGGCGAACAGGTTGATATTAAAGTTTGATATTAAAGGTTGATATTAAAGTTCATTTACACAAAATGAACTAAGTTGGTCATTTGCTTCACACCCTATAATGTATGGTCTCCCATCGCTATTTATTTATTTATTTTTAATTTCATTTTATGACACAGTTTCATAGGCTCTGGGACTCCCCAGCCCCTCTCCCCATGCTGTTACAATAGTGCAGCTCACAGCCAGTCAGGATTCCTCACGTTAACACGGTTTATCACGTCCAGGGGTGTTCAGCCCCTTTCTTCCTATGAAATCATTCTGTAATATCCTCTCCATAGCTCTCTGGGTTTCACTGAGTCTCTTACTTACTTTTTATTTTAAACGTACACTTTATAAATAGCCCAGGATTTTAAATGAGTCAATACAGGGAGCTAAATCTGTAACACACACACTTAAGTCACCCAGGACTGCTTGTCTGGAGCACTGAGCTGCAATAAATATCTTAAACCGTGCATTCAATGGCTACCTTCCCTGCCAGATCACAAACTCCATGAACACACACTGGGTTTCCTATGCATCACTACAATCTACATTCCCAAGTGAAGTGGCTAATACAATATTATAGTACCTATGTACATTTTTGTTAAATAAGTGAAAAATAGAAGGTTTAATAAAAATTCTTGGTAACATTTGAAATCATTTTTTCTGATTATTAACTGCAAATAAGTCTATAACTTACTTTGTTGGATAACCCATGAAATCCAGAAGAAAGTAACTTTCACAAATGACTGACACCAGGTATTCCAGCAGGTAAGATCCTCTTACAAATTAAACAAGTATCTTCTGACTTATAAAACTCACTCTTGGGCCTGGCGCAGTAGCCTAGTGGCTAAAGTCCTCACATTGAACTCATTGGGATCCCATACGGGCACTGGTTTGTATACCGGCTGCCCCACTTCCCATCCAGCTCCCTGCTTGTGGCCTGGGAAAGCAGTTGAGAGCAGCACAAGAATTGGGACCCTGCACCCGTGTGGGAGACAGGAAGAAGTTCCAGATTCCTGGCTTCGGGTCAGCTCAGCTCCGGCTGTTGTGGCCACTTGGGGAGTGAATCATCGGATGGAAGACCTTTCTCCCTGTCTCTTCTCCTCTCTGTATATCTGACTTTCCAGTAAAAATAAATCTTAAAAAAAGGTTCACTCTCTATGAATATGGCTATACAGAGTCAATCCCCAAACCTTAACTTTTGCTGACACAATACAAAATCGACTTGTAAAATGAGCATCAGGCTTAGAGTTGACCCCAGGACATTGTGAGTCTCGAACAGCAGTAAAGAGCAGGTTGTTAGCAGAGCCCGTGCCCATCTCCTGAACCACAGGCCATGGACGTGTTCAAACCACCACGCACCACTCACCTCTTGGAAGTTATGCTGAGTGAACTTGTCCGCTATCCTCAGCAACTCACGGCATGAATGTGTGTCAGCAAAAGCCCGGATGCCCAGGCAATTAGAAGGATCCAACTGCCTCTTTAAGAATTCACAGCAGGCTTCCTGTATCTCGGCCAGCTGAAGGAGGCAGGCGGCCGGCAGCAGAGTCTGCACGTTGCCCTCCTCCACGGTGACCTGGGACGTGTAGGCGAAGTCGATGAGCAGCTCCATGGCCCGCTCGTCTATGTCCCGGATCACCACCTCCGTCTGCCGGCTCTCGGCCAGCTCGCCGGTGAACATGGCCCGGAAGTAGGGACTGCAGGCCGACAGGATGACCCGATGCGCGTAGATCTTCTTGGCCCCCACAACCAGCACCACGTCACATAGCTCCCGGTGCTTTCTCAGAAGGTTAATCACTTCCAAGGTCTGCCGAGGGTGCTTGTCTGAGATGTAGGGCATGCGTGCAGGCTGGGGAACCCCTTCCGGCAGTTTGTTGGGGTCTCCGAGAGTGCAGCGGCTTGTGACATCCATGCCAGTCTCTGCTGGTCGGATGCTGGTACACCTGCAGGTGCAACGGGAAGCAACATGAGCAGACCTTCACTTAGATGCCAAGATGAGCAGAACTTCACTTCTGCCCTAGTGTTTGCAAACCAACACAGGGAATCCTGCAGTTAACGAGAGACGCAGGCCTCCCAGGAATTCCCTTCCCAAGGACTCAATCACTTCCTTAGTCTCTTCAAGGATGCATGCTAATCGTGTGAACTCCAAGCGCACAGTACACTCCTATGGAAGAAAGGGCAACCCCCCTTCAGCCTGCAAGGCGTTACATTATTCGGAGGTATATCTTTTACAGTGTTACTGAAGATTCTCTCAGGTTTAACCAAAATTTTAGTAATTGCTGTTTTTCTAAAACAGCTGATATTTCTTATTTTCACAGGGCAATACAATGAATTTGGTAAAGGTTCATCATCAGATCTATAAACTATAACTCAGGGAAATAGGCCAGAACTGAAAAATTATCTTCAAACATCTACACTATAGTCTGATTCTAAGATACGTATTTTTCAGAGCTCAGCATTTAGTATAACTTGGAAACAATCTAAAGCTGATATCAGAGACACCTGCCAGCTGTAAGTTCAAGAGCCATGACCAGTTTGTCCTGCCTTTGCACGGGAGTGTTAGTAATAGTTCTTTAAACACATACTAGAATTTTAAAAGCCAAAAGGTCAATGTGACAGAATTTTATCTGATTGGGATTTGAGAATTTTTGCTAAGCTTTCTAAGAAAGGGATTTCACTTCCAATCAGGACTCTTAGCAGGATGGGTGTTTAGCTTAGTGGCACTATAAGACAGTCCTTTAGTATCAGCAGGTTTGGGGTCTCACACCCAGCTCTGGCTCCTGACCCACGATTCCTTCCCCTGCAGACCTGGAAGACGGCAGAGATGGCTGAACTAACTGGGTTGCTGCCACCTGCTGGACGCCTGAGCTCAGCTTGGTGTCTCCCGGCCTTGGCCTGGCCCAGCTCTGGTTGTTTTGGGCACTTATAGACTGAACCAGTAAATAGAAGGTCTCTGTGTGTAAATAAATGAAGTAAAAATTTTCTCATTATCCTAACTAAACAGGATACAAATATATATGTTATATCTCAAAGCTAAACAATCACATTGGTTCTAAAGAAGTAAAATAGACAACAAACGCCCAAAAGAAACCACACACTCAATCACAAACACAGATGACATAGTGTGGAGTGTCACCGTGCGGCTACAGGTGATTGTGGACTATACAGTGTAGAGTGTCACCATGCCGCTACAGGTGATTGTGGATTATACAGTGTGGAGTGTCACCGTGCGGCTACAGGTGATTGTGGATTATACAGTGTGGAGTGTCACCGTGCCGCTACAGGTGATTGTGGATTATACAGTGTGGAGTGTCACCGTGCTGCTACAGGTGATTGTGGACTATACAGTGTGGAGTGTCACCGTGCGGCTACAGGTGATTGTGGATTATACAGTGTGGAGTGTCACCGTGCGGCTACAGGTGATTGTGGATTATACAGTGTGGAGTGTCACCGTGCGGCTACAGGTGATTGTGGATTATACAGTGTGGAGTGTCACCGTGCGGCTACAGGTGATTGTGGATTATACAGTGTGGAATGTCACCGTGCCGCTACAGGTGATTATGGATTATACAGTGTGGAGTGTCACCGTGCCGCTACAGGTGATTGTGGATTATACAGTGTGGAGTGTCACCGTGCGGCTACAGGTGATTGTGGATTATACAGTGTGGAGTGTCACCGTGCGGCTACAGGTGATTGTGGATTATACAGTGTGGAGTGTCACCGTGCCGCTACAGGTGATTGTGGATTATACAGTGTGGAGTGTCACCGTGCGGCTACAGGTGATTGTGGACTATACAGTGTGGAGTGTCACCGTGCGGCTACAGGTGATTGTGGATTATACAGTGTGGAGTGTCACCGTGCGGCTACAGGTGATTGTGGATTATACAGTGTGGAGTGTCACCGTGCGGCTACAGGTGATTGTGGATTATACAGTGTGGAATGTCACCGTGCGGCTACAGGTGATTGTGGACTATACAGTGTGGAGTGTCACCGTGCGGCTACAGGTGATTGTGGATTATACAGTGTGGAGTGTCACCGTGCGGCTACAGGTGAGAGTGGATTATACAGTGTGGAGTGTCACCGTGCCGCTACAGGTGATTGTGGATTATACAGTGTGGAGTGTCACCGTGCGGCTACAGGTGATTGTGGACTATACAGTGTGGAGTGTCACCGTGCTGCTTATTGGTTATCCAAGTTTCTACACTGAACCAAATACAGATGTTCTGTGTTTGGTCATCACACAAATCTTTACCAATGATGCATCTGGGAAACTCCACAACTTGGTGAGCAAAGGCTTACAAAATGAATTCAAGATTTAAGGAAACAATAAATATCATCAGACTGAACATAAGCTCTCCCTTTTTTAGCTTAAAATAAGTGGGATGATTTAAGAAATTTTCAGTTACCTTTAAGAACTTCTTACTTTAAAAAAATTTTTTTTTAATTTTAAAAATTTATTTTTAGTGAAAATGCAGAAAAGGCAACTGGAGGCCTTCGTTAGAGGAGGGGCTCAGGAGTGGAAGGAAGACAATGGGAAAAGGGCACGGTTCAGACCACACCTATAAGGTGCCTGGGACACTGATCGTGGTGATGACATGCACACCAACTTGGTGAATATATATCTGTATCTAAGCCCAAATTAATCACACGCATACCTTAAACACATGCAATTTTTTTTATACATCCATGGTGCCTCAATAAAGATTAAAAACATGGTTTAGAAAGGTGAATTCAGGGGGCAGACATCATGGCCCAGCACATTAAGCATCTGTCTACAGTGCTGGCATCCCACACGGGCCCATTTTCAAGTCCCAGCTACTCCACATCCTATAGAGCTCCCAGCGAATGTGCCTGGGAAAGATGGCCCAAGTGCTTGGGTCCCTGTCTCCACGTGGGACACCCAGAGGCAGCTCTATTTCAGCCGGACCCAGTACTGGCAACTGTGGTCTCCTGCGAGTGAACCAGTGGATGAAAGATCTCTCTTACTCTGCAAATATTTCAAAATAAATAATAAAAAAAGAAAAAGGCAAAGTGTAAAAAGGACTTGCTTTACGTCATTAAGAAAGCTTCTGGCCCTGACAGATTATCACATTACCACAAGAGGGCGTATCCTGTGTGAAGGGGAAGTATTGGACCAGGTCTTCCTATGTCTAACTGCGATGTGTGCCATCCTTGCCTCAGATCATTACACCTGCTTCCGACTCAAGGCCCTCCCAGAGCGGCCACGGGATCTGAACAGAGGCTCAGCCCTACGTGCGGCTCTTCCAGAGCCAATCACAACTGTCCAACGTCTGCTGGGTGAGTTCTCCGCCCTCAGGGCTGCAGTACGCACGCCTGCAGCGCCATGGCACACAGGGTGCCGAGAGCCTGGAAACGCTGAGGTTACTCCAAGAAGAAACCATATGCATGTCACAGAGGCACAACCTGAAAACAAAAAGCAGGGTCCTTTCTTCACTAGCGAGGCGTTCCCAAAAAGTACTCATAAATTCTTTTTCCAATCGCAGTTTCACTTGAGTTACAGTCTAGAATACAAATTCTTCAGAACTCCTGACGTCTTACAGAGACGCACTGCTTATGCACGGCAAGTAAAGGCTGAGATGCAGAGCAATGCAGCCCTGTGCGCAGTAGGCGCTTCACGATCCAGTCCCATGCTTCTGCGGTACAGTTAAGCTGCTTCTTCAAAAAAAATCACCATTAAAAACAGAACACCAATTTAAACGATTCTATAATGTGACATACGCTGAAATTAAAAGTGCTGTTGCAACTTTAATTATGCATGTAAAAGTGGTGCTACTAAATTCACATGCAACATATTTCAACTATATATAATGCTGGTAAACTAGTTTCTACACAGCTACATTTTTCTTTTTAAAATATATCACAGGAGGGGCCCAGCACAATAGCCCAGGGGCTAAATTCTCGCCTTGCATGCACCAGGATCCCATAAAGGCAATGCTTTGTGTCCCTGTTGCCCCACTTCCCATCCAGTTCCCTGCCTGTGGCCTGGGAAAGCAGTTGAGGACGGCCCAAAGCCTTGGGACCTTGCAGGTGTGGGAGACCTGGAAGAAGCTCCTGGCTCCTGGTTTTGGATCAGCTTAGCTCTGGCTCAGCTCCAGCTGTTGTGGCCACTTGGGAAGTGAACCAGCAGATGGAAGATCTTTCTTTCTGTCTCTCCTTCTGTCAATCTGCCTTAAAAAAAAAAAAAAAAAAGAGAAGACTTTAGAAATAAATCACAGGAATGGTTAAGGCACCACTGCATGAAGGAATGCCTGGGCTAGTTTCAGATCCCAGCCTCTGCTCACGCCCTAGCAAGCCCGGCCACACAGGCCGCTCTGGGTTCTAGGTTCCTGCCTCGGCCTAGCTTAGCTCTGGGGGCTAAACCAGGGCAGGAAAGAGTCTCTTCTGGCATTTCAAAGAATAATAATCATCATCATCAACAACAATAATAAACTAATAATTACACAATTAATAATGTAACAATATGTTATCGACATGTTAATATTAATAATCAACATATCTTAATAATATATCAATAATTAATTAATGATTAAACGATTGTTTTTATTATTGTTGTTATTATCATTATATATTAAAGTTGGAAAGTCAGATATGCAGAGAGGAAGATCTTCTGTCTGTTGGTTCACTCCCCAAGCAGCCACAATGGTCAGAACTGAGCCAATTCAAAGCCAGGAGCCAGGAGCTTCTTTTGGGTCTCCCATACAGGTGCAGGGCCCCAAGCAATAGCTGCATGCTCTTATTCCTACTTTAGTACATGTTTTTATCTAATAATAGGTCATCTGTATATTTTTATTAACTGCATGTTTTGTAAACTTGTAATTGCTTCTATGTGGTCCTTCTCCAAAGCTCTGTTTTCACAGCCTTCTGGTTGCCCCCCCATTCCTAGGGGAGGCCCTAACTAGTCCCAGGCTCCAGGTGACCTCTC